AAACGTAGTGCACTCTGTTCATAACAGATTCTAGTATTGGGAATAGAAAACTGTACTGAGCTAAAATGTTTCATTGATGAGAACATTTGCAGAATGTCTCTCACTACCGGCCAGTGGGCATCCTCTCACTACCATATTTGGTAGTGAGTGGAAACGCCAAGCAGATGCTTCACATTTGTACATCCTTGGTGATGTCACAAACTCCCAAAAAGTTAACATTACGGTAGACACCTTGCAGTTCTGATGCTGGCAATACCATGTCTCCAAATATGATGCGGTGTCTCCAGTTGTGATGGCAGTGCCGACCGTTCAATGCAGTGTGTGACTCTTTGTAGTCACGTGTGGTTAAACTAAAGCTGCAATATGTAACTTTTTGGGCGACCCGACCAAATTCAAATAGAAATGTGATTTATAGATCTGTTGTAGTGGAATAATAGAGAGAGTGAACAAATCTGATCAAGATGCGACCTGCTGACGCCAACCTGGCATGTTGATTCAATTTGGCATTGTCCGGATGGATGGCTGTATATTTGCATCTCACACCTTCCAGTGGAAATCTAGAGGGAAGAGATGTTCCCATGCAAGTCATGGGGTCACTGACGCCAGGAGAGGTGTGACGACTGATGAAAACTTAAATTGGCGAAATTGGTGTTACTGTGTGAATTAATTTGTCATGTTTGGATTGTTTCAAAAGTTTATAAAAATGCTGCACATTTTTATATATCTTATTGCATTGTATGTTTTCTGGTTGATGTATTTTTGTATCTTTTAAGTGACTGGCTTGAACTTGTATGTTGGGTTGACTGGTTATCAGGTCATAACATTCAAATTGAGTTGATTAGATTAGAATCTGGGTGTGTATTTCCTGCCTTTTGTTTTTACTCGCAAAGTGTTAAGAAATGTTAATTCAGGTTGGGGGTGTGTTCCCGCTTGATTATGGTTAAAAGGGTAGTCAATTCTCTCATATTTTGAGATCTTGCAACCAAGCTGCTGTGTGTATCAGACACACCTAGTTTTTTCTCATAGAGATTATTCTGAACTGAAGACACGTGTAACCACGTTAAGTCTTAGCCTATTGTTGATAGTAATTTACTCTGGGTCATTCTGTAAAGTAACATGTATTTCATGTACACTGTAATTGTTTGAGTGTCAATTTTTTTGTGACTAATAAATTCAATATTTTACTTCCGGTTTTGAACACCACCTTCAAGTAGCTGAAAATACAATATTTTTGCTTAACGAAACGGTATTTCACAGTGCTTTAGATGGTACAATGATTCTCTACACTATACTTGCTTGTTTTGTCACATAAACTGAAATTAGGCGAACTATTACAATTTTAGCCACCAGGGAATGGCGGAGCTATTTCTTCGTAGTGCATCTTTAAATGTGTCTCACTAGTTTTCTGTCAAAGCATTACTATTGTTTTCTTAGACAGCATAGGCTACGATCACAATATGTGTTTTCTCTTAGGGTTTACACTGGTGCTTGGCATAAAGACTCATAACTTTTTGTGTTTATGGGCTGCCTGAGGTACTTTCATTAAGTGTTTACTATCTGTCTTTGGTCGGAAGCCTTCCTTCTGCTGCCTCCCCTTCGCGTTCTTACTCTACTGTTTAACTTTAATAGAGGAAAAGTGGATCAGGGATTGATGTGACATAATGGCTAAGTCCCAAATAGCACCCTATTCCCTATTTAATGCATAGCCCATAGGGCTCTGGTCAAAAGTAGTGCACTATATAGAAAAAAAGGGAGCCTAAAACAGTAATCTGTTTCCTTCCTGCTGTATTCCCAAATGGCACCCTATTCCCTATTTAATGCACTACTTTTGACCAGGGCCTATAGAGATCTGGTCAAAATTAATGCCCTATATAGGGAATAGGGCGCCATTTGGGACAAAGCCAATGTCCTGTTAGGATCAGAGGAGACAGGATAATCATATTACACTCGTTTCTGAGAACTCTGGGCCATGTTACAACTTCCATCGGTAGAACATCAGAAGAGTTTGATTGAAGGTGGCATGTGAGGAGAATCTGGCACTGCTCGAGTTCTAGAGCTCTCTGGCTTCAGTTGTGACATCATGGGACACTCCATTGGCTCAGGGCCAGCTCCATGCTGGTCTACTCTACTCAGGCAGGGAGAAAGACAATATTCCTGGTGAAACACTATTTTATCTGTGTGCTGGTGGCGTTGACTTGAAAACAGAAACAGTGTACACACACAAACACACATACTGTATGCACGCAACAAAGTCTGTTTATGAAACACATACATATACACACACACACACCCTCTCTCTCACTCATGATTAGTCAAGTCAAATTTGTTTTAAGTGCTTTTAACCAGGGTCACAAAACACTTTACATAATTCAATATAGGCCATGATGGTGACCTACCTACCTACACAGGTGTGTTGAGGTGCCAGGTGGGGTGTGTAGTTACCTACCTACACAGGTGTGTTGAGGTGCCAGGTGGGGTGTGTAGTTACCTACCTACACAGGTGTGTTGAGGTGCCAGGTGGGGTGTGTAGTTACCTACCTACACAGGTGTGTTGAGGTGAAAACCTGAACTGGTGACAAAAACATTTTAGAACGTTTGCAACATGCTAGTTTTCACAGCATTTCTCTGTTGTTTCGAGATGAGCTAAAGCTGCAGCAAGTGGGAGAAATAGTCTACAATGCTGGCCATATCAATATTTTTAATGTTGACGTTTCTGAAGTGATATTTGGCGGTAAAGGCTTGAGTGAGGGACAATAATTATCTAGCCACAATGAGGCTAATTTTGAGAAAAGTCAGCTAACCTTGTAAGCTACCTAGGTATAACTAGCTACTAGCTAGTTAAATTTCTCTCACGATTATAAAGCCAACCATTTTTTAAATAAAAACAGCATATTATTGACCTAAAAGGTTAGCTGTGTTAGCCCAGTCGCTAGCTTATCCAGCCAGGGTCAGTGATACACAGGGCAACCATACTGTCTTTCTATGTGAACAACTGCAATAAATTTGCAAGGAACGTTGCTAAAATGAATTAAATGAAATGAAATGAACCTCATAAAATGTTACCTGTAATGTTCATCTCCTGTAGCCTAATTGTCATCTCCTTATTTTCATAATGTACCTAAATTACAGCAGTTGGATTTGCACTAAACAATTTTATATGTCAGCACTTAAAAGGCATGCACAAAATCTGGTATATGGTTTGCCTCATATACATCGTCTACTGGTTTCATTTTAAATTGAGAACGTATAGCTCAACATGTAAACAATGTGTGAGTTTAGCTATTCTCTGCTTCAGATGACAGATGCCCATAAGGTCAGTAATGACATCATACTGTAGGCCTCTGGTTGCATTGGCGATGCATGCGATATGATAAGGTGCAAAGTGGATTCACATACAGTTGAAGTCAGAAGTTTACATACACTTCAAACTCATTTTTCAACCACTCCACACATTTCTTGTTAACAAACTATAGTTTTGGCAAGTTGGTTAGGACATCTACTTTGTGCATGACACAAGTAATTTTTCCAACAATTGTTTACAGACAGATTATTTCACTTATAATTCACTGTATCACAATTCCAGTGGGTCAGAAGTTTACATACACTAAATTGACTGTGCCTTTAAACAGCTTGGAAAATTCCAGAAAATGATGTCATGGCTTTAGAAGCTTCTGATAGGCTAATTGACATAATTTGAGTCAATTGGAGGTGTACCTGTGGATGTATTTCAAGGCCTACCTTCAAACTCAGTGCATCTTTGCTTGACATCATGGGAAAATCAAAAGAAATCAGCCAAGACCTCAGGAATTGTTTTTTGTAGACCTCCACAAGTATCTATATCCACAGTAAAACGAGTCCTATATCGACATAACCTGAAAGGCCACTCAGCAAGGAAGCTCCAAAACCACCATAAAAAGCCAGACTACGGTTTGAAACTGCAATGTCCTCTGGTATGATGAAACAAAAATATAACTGTTTGCCCATAATGACCATTGTTATGTTTGGAGGAAAAAGGGGGGTCTTGCAAGCCAAAGAACACCATCCCAACCGTGAAGCACGGGGGTGGCAGCATCATGCTGTGGGGGTGCTTTGCTGCAGGAGGGACTGGTGCACTTCACAAAACAGATGGCATCATGAGGAAGGAAAATTATGTGGATATATTGAAGCAACATCTCAAGACATCAGTCAGGAAGTTAAAGCTTGGTCGCAAATGGGTCTTCCAAATGGACAATGACCCCAAGCATACTTCCAAAGTTGTGGCAAAATGGCTTAAGGACAACAAAGTCAAGGTATTGGAGTGGCCATCACAAAGCCCTGACCTCAATCCTATAGAAAATGTGTGGGCAGAACTGAAAAAGTGTGTACGAACAAGGAGGCCTACAAACCTGATTCAGTTACACCATCTCTGTCAGGAGGAATGGGCCAAAATTCACCCAACTTATTGTGGGAAGCTTGTGGAAGGCTACCCGAAACGTTTGACCCAAGTTCAACAATTTAAAGCAATGCTACCAAATACTAATTGAGTGTATGTAAACTTCTGACCCACTGGGAATCTGATGAAAGAAATAAAAGCTGAAATAAATCATTTTCTCTACAATTATTCTGACATTTCACATTCTTAAAATAAAGTGGTGATCCTAACTGACCTAAGACAGGGAATTTTTACTAGGATTAAATGTCAGGAATTGTGAAAAACTGAGTTTAAATGTATTTGGCTAAGGTGTATGTAAACTTCCGACTTCATCTGTAGCTGATACACTGAGAGAGAGTGACAATCAAATAAAACATATTGGAGAGCTTACAACTAGACAAAAAGCAAATGTTAATTTGAGAATACAACACAGAAACACAGACACATTACAGACAAAGGCCTTCCTCTCTTTATTGCAGGATTGTGATATGTGATTAATCAACATTTTCACTAGTTAATTCTGAATAATAGTTTAACAATTAAAACAAATTTAAACACTTTAAAGAATCAGCACGTAATCACTTCAAAATGTACAAATAAGCTAACTGGTATGTAAATATTAGACATCTTAGTCTAAACAACAGTAGATCATTGAGTAGTAACCAGTAGGTTATTATTACTAAAACATCAATTCAGGTGAACAAAAAAAACTCCATACCAATGGAGGCCGACCTTGCTCCACTGATCCCTGATCTACTTGATCCCTGATCTACAGGTGTGTTATTGCTGGGCTGAAACAGAACCCTGCACACCCAGCAGACCTCCAGCAGCTAAATGGCATATTATATTATATTATTATATTATATTATTTTTGTAAACAGCATTTGCTAACATACTGTGGGTAGGCCTACACATATAACCCATGGCATATATAAAAAAAAAAAAATAATAATAATAATAATAATAATAATAATAATAATGTATGCACTAACTGTAAGTCGCTCTGGATAAGAGCGTCTGCTAAATGACTAAAATGTAAATGTAAATGTAATATAGGATATACCCTTAGTCTCTTGGGACATTCATTGGGACCTCTCTCTTCATCTGAAAACAGGCTTTCACAGCTTTCCATATCTGAGGACAGAAAACATCACAAAGAAACAGGCTTCATTACACTCAAATCAGACATCACTGAATATTATGTTGCTATTATCTCTCTAGAGACTGGAACTGGAGAATCTTTTCATAATGTCCTCCCACATAATTACCTGCTCTATCCAGTACAGTAGCCAACACTCCCCCTTTATTGACAGCTATAGATGCAATTTCACCCTCTTCCATGGCTGTTATCTACAAATGCATTTGGGGACTGTGTTTTTATAGGAAGTTAGCTAGCTGATGACATTTAATTAACTTAGCCAAATAGTGTGTCAAGTTAGCTAGCTAGCTAGCAGCTCAGTTGACTTAGCCTACAAAGTGGCCTACTGTAGCCAGCTAGTAAGCAAGCTAGCTAGCTAATAGCCTGATAAATAGTTTTTTAACATTTAAAAAATGCATTTACTTACTTGAATTGGTTCTCCCACTGCCTCCGTTTTTTGGGTCCTTATGGTATTTTCAATATTTTATTAGGATCCCCATTAGCTGTTGCGAAAGCAGCATCTACTCTTCCTGGGGTCCACACAAAACATGAAACATGACATAATACAGAACTTTAACAGACAAGAACAGCTCAAGGAGACAACTACATCAATTTAAAATGGCACACATAACCTAGATATCAATACATACACACAAACTATCTAGGTCAAATAGGGGAGAGGCGTTGTGCCGTGAGGTGTTGCTTTATCTGTTTGCTATTAATTTGAGCAATATGAGATGGAACGGAGTTGCATACAATAATGGCTCTATATAATACTGTACGCTTTCTTGAATTTGTTCTGGATTTGGGGACTGTGAAAAGACCCCTGGTGGCATGTCTGGTGGGGTAAGTGTGTGTGTCAGAGCTGTGTGTAAGTTGACTATGCAAACAATTTGGGATTTTCAACACATTAATGTTTCTTACAAAATAATGGGCAATCTTCACTATTTTCGGTGGTAATAAAGCGCAGCCAGAAGCCATGTGGACGAATGGAGACAAGGAAAAAAGTTTGTCACCAGAGCGGTTTAAAACGTGTTGTGACGTTTGGCTTTACCAGAGTAATCCACTTTCAATTTCAATAAATTTAGATCGCAGACTGTAGGCTACACTTGATAACTTAAAAACTAGTACTCGAAACTAGCATAGGAAACAACTACCCAGATGGAAAACTGACACACATAACACACAGCATCCCTTCTACGGCTGTGTAGGGGGAGGGTTCTTGAAATGTATCATCCAATCAAAATCTTGCCGCTGGGAGCCAACGGTCCATTCAAACCGTTTTTGCAATTGACAACGACGTGATTTTGGAGGCATGGCAATGTTAGACTAGGTGTGTAGTTACCTAACTACAGCACACAGGTGTGTTCAGGTGATTCCAGGTGGGGTCTGTAGTTGACTTATAGTCAGCCAATAGTTATTCATAGATTGTGGTATTCAGGTCTTCATGGTGAACAGGCAGGCAACAACAGGAAACCCCATATTGCTTACCACAGTTTATACATATTTAGTAACAATGTTGTGAACAAAGGGGGGATTAAGGGATGAGACAGCGTGTATACAACAGACTAATAATAAGGACAGGAGTAAAATGTCAGTGACGCAGTAAACACATAGCAACACCTTAAACAGCATAGTACATGTACACTCTCTCTCTCTTAGAAGCGCTAGAGCGCGAGCTCGCGCGCTCTCTCTAATCATTCTCTCCTCTCTCTATCCCTCGCCTTCGTCTATCTCTCTATCTTCCGTCTCTCTCTCTCTCTCTCTCTCTCTCTCGCTTTCTCTCACTTCTCTCTCTCTCTCTCTCTCTCTCTCTCTCTCTCTCTCTCTCTCTCTCTCTCTCTCTCTCTCTCAATTCAATTCAATTCAATTGAAAGGGCTTTATTGGCATGGGAAACATGATTACATTGCCAAAGCAAGTGAAATAGATCATAAACAAAAGTGAAATAAACAGTAACATATATAGAATAGAGACATTTCAAATGTCATATTATGGCTATATACAGTGTACAGTCTATGAACAGCCTCTCTCTCTCTCTCTCTCTCTCTCTCTCTCTCTCTCTCTCTCTCTCTCTCTCTCTCTCTCTCTCTCTCTCTCTCTCTCTCTCTCTCTCTCTCTCTCTCTCTCTCTCTCTCTCTCACACACACACAGTTCATAATAGGTATGTATAATAACATTGGCTCCCCTCCCGTCTGGATGTTAGCTCCTCCTCCCGTTCTAGAGGACAGCTAGTTTGACCCAGGAGGAGGGGAAAGGGGGAGGAGGAGAGGGAGGGAAGGAGAAGAGTGAAGGAGGGATGGTAATAGCAGACGAAGCTTAAATTCAGTCCTGTCAGTGAGTAAAGCCTCTCAGAGGTAGCAGAGGTGGAGAGAGGGAAACACACGGAGCCCGGCAACTAATGGATTACTCTGACTGTTGTGAACTACACAGCACCCGAATGCCATCAACCACAAGGCAAATACAGTACAGACATATTGACACTCATTTAACTGCAGCCTCAAACACTGTACAACAAGCTCTGAACACATTTAGATCACACATAATTTGAAACAGACAGTTCTAACACTGGTCTCTTGATCTCCATTAGCGTAAACAGACAAACTGATTCAATGATTATCACACAAACACAGAGACAGTGCATGGATTTCACTGTTGAATCAAAGGGTCAAAGATGTGAATTTTGGTGAGGATTCGGACACCTTTGTGAAACATCACTGGAGACCACAAGCAACAGTAAGTACAGTGCCTCACCTTTTAGCTCACCTTAGCATTTAGCTACCTTTCACTTTGCCTGGTAACGTAACCCTCAGATGTTACAGCAGCGGTGTGTTTGTCTGAGCACGGCAGTTTACAACAATTTGTATTCAGTGAGGTTTGTGTGTGTATGCATGCGTTTCATAAACAGACTTTGCATAATGACAGACATGATGAGATAAGATTATACTAAAAGCTTTATGATAAACCTGCTAGCTTAGACATTCAGATGTGTGTCTCCGGAAAATAAACAGAATCATGCTATGTAAATGTCTCCAGCTAGCCTTTATGTCAACACTCTTGATACACTTATCTCAGTTAGTTCATTAATTTTATAATGTAGCTGTGTGTGTAGAGATTCCTATGGGAGGTCCTGAATTGTGACTGTGTATAGATCAGCTAATCGTCAGTATAATCAATTTTGATGTTGATGGAACATAATGAGTCTCTCTCCTTTGCTGACAAGGACAGAAAGGCCAGCACGCTATAATCTCCGTATATCACCTTAATCCGTAAGAGTCTATTGACGCACCCATGCGTCAATCTAAGTAACATAATAAAAAAATCCCCATCAAAATCCGTCTGGTTAAGCTAGAGATGGTTTTTTTTCATGGGCTGCTATAAGGTGGGTGCTATAAGGTGGTATATGGTACTATAAGGTGCTATAAGGTGGTATAAGGTACTATAAGGTGCTATAAGGTGTCATAAGGTACTATAAGGTGCTATAAGGTGGTATAAGGTGGTATAAGGTGCTATAAGGTGCTATAAGGTGGTATAAGGTACTATAAGGTGCTATAAGGTGGTATAAGGTGGTATAAGGTAGTATAAGGTGCTATAAGGTGCTATAAGGTGGTATAAGGTACTATAAGGTGCTATAAGGTGGTATAAGGTGGTATAAGGTACTATAAGGTGCTATAAAGTGGTATAAGGTGGTATAAGGTACTATAAGGTACTATAAGGTGCTATAAGGTTCTATAAGGTGCTATAAGATACTCTAAGGTGCTATAAGGTGGTATAAGGTGGTATAAGGTGGTATATGGTGGTTTAAGGTGCTATAAGGTGCTATAAGGTGCTATAATGTACTATAAGGTGGTATAAGGTGGTATAAGGTGGTTTAAGGTGCTATAAGGTGCTATAAGGTGCTATAAGGTGGTTTAAGGTGCTATAAGGTGCTATAAAGTGGTATAAGGTGGTATAAGGTACTATAAGGTACTATAAGGTGCTATAAGGTGGTATAAGGTACTATAAGGTGCTATAAGGTGGTATAAGGTGGTATAAGGTGGTATATGGTGGTTTAAGGTGCTATAAGGTGCTATAAGGTGCTATAATGTACTATAAGGTGGTATAAGGTGCTATAAGGTGGTATAAGGTACTATAAGGTGCTATAAGGTGGTATAAGGTGGTATAAGGTACTATAAGGTGCTATAAAGTGGTATAAGGTGGTATAAGGTACTATAAGGTACTATAAGGTGCTATAAGGTTCTATAAGGTGCTATAAGATACTCTAAGGTGCTATAAGGTGGTATAAGGTGGTATAAGGTGGTATATGGTGGTTTAAGGTGCTATAAGGTGCTATAAGGTGCTATAATGTACTATAAGGTGGTATAAGGTGGTATAAGGTGGTTTAAGGTGCTATAAGGTGCTATAAGGTGCTATAAGGTGGTTTAAGGTGCTATAAGGTGGTATAAGGTACTATAAGGTGCTATAAGGTGGTATAAGGTACTATAAGGTGCTATAAGGTGGTATAAGGTACTATAAGGTGCTATAAGGTGGTATAAGGTGGTATAAGGTGCTATAAGGTGCTATAAGGTGGTATAAGGTACTATAAGGTGGTATAAGGTGCTATAAGGTGGTATAAGGTACTATAAGGTGCTATAAGGTGGTATAAGGTACTATAAGGTGCTATAAGGTGGTATAAGGTGGTAGAAGGTACTATAAGGTGCTATAAAGTGGTATACGGTGGTATAAGGTGCTATAAGGTGCTATAAGGTGGTATAAGGTACTATAAGGTGCTATAAGGTGGTTTAAGGTGCTATAAGGTGCTATAAGGTGGTATAAGGTACTATAAGGTGCTATACGGTGGTATAAGGTACTATAAGGTGCTATAAGGTGGTAGAAGGTGGTAGAAGGTACTATAAGGTGCTATAAAGTGGTATAAGGTGCTATAAGGTGCTATAAGGTACTATAAGGTGCTATAAGGTTCTATAAGGTGCTATACGATACTCTAATGTGCTATAAGGTGGTATAAGGTGGTATAAGGTGGTATACGGTGGTTTAAGGTGCTATAAGGTGCTATAAGGTGCTATAATGTACTATAAGGTGGTATAAGGTGGTTTAAGGTGCTATAAGGTGCTATAAGGTGCTATAAGGTACTATAAGGTGGTATAAGGTTCTATAAGGTACTATAAGGTGCTATAAGGTACTATAAGGTACTACACGGTTCTATAAAGTACTATACGGTGCTATAAGGTACTATAAGGTGGTATAAGGTGCTATAAGGTGCTATAAGGTGCTATAAGGTACTATAAGGTGGTATAAGGTTCTATAAGGTACTATAAGGTGCTATAAGGTACTATAAGGTACTACACGGTTCTATAAAGTACTATACGGTGCTATAAGGTACTATAAGGTTCTATAAGGTACTATAAGGTGGTATAAGGTGCTATAAGGTACTATAAGGTACTATAAGGTTCTATAAGGTACTATAAGGTGGTATAAGGTGGTATAAGGTGCTATAAGGTACTATAAGGTACTATAAGGTTCTATAAAGTACTATACGGTGCTATAAGGTACTATAAGGTTCTATAAGGTACTATAAGGTGCTATAAGGTACTATAATGTACTATAAGGTTCTATAAGGTACTATAAGGTGCTATAAGGTAATATAAGGTACTATAAGGTGGTATAAGGTGCTATAAGGTACTATAAGGTACTATAAGGTTCTATAAGGTACTATAATGTGCTATAAGGTACTATAAGGTACTATAAGGTGGTATAAGGTGCTATAAGGTACTATAAGGATCTATAAGGTACTATAAGGTGCTATAAGGTACTATAAGGTACTATAAGGTTCTATAAGGTACTATAAGGTGCTATAAGGTGCTATAAAGAGCATATAGTGTGTGGACCTTTCTGTTCTTTTCATGTATACCCCTAAGCCCAGTATTGAGGTTTTTGTAGGATGTGGTTATCACTCCAACCATTCATCCCTCCTTCCTCCCACTGCTGTAGGGACACTCAGAGAGAGGAAAGGACACACGTGAGGAGGATGACCATGCACTGACAGAAAGGTGAGAGCCAAGAGAGACAGGGAGAAGATATAGACTCACCTTGGTGTGTTTGTGTTTGTGTGTGTGTGTGTGTGTGTGTGTATGTGTGTGTATGTGTGTGTGTGTTCGTGTCTGTGTGTGTGTTCTGCCACACTAACCAAAACTGTTTTGCTGTTGATTAATACATTTATGAACCCAGATAATTATCCACATACAGTATGCACTCATAAAGTATTCATCGTAGACAGACACAGACAAAATCAAAAATGGCTTTGATGGCTTTTCATATCTTTCATCTAATAAGAAAAATAATCTTGAAAATCTTCAATCATTACATTTAATATTTATGTTCATGACCATCCTTATCAATGGATGTTTATTATTAAGTAAGTAGGTAGTCAATTCTTTAGTAAGTCCTTTATGTCAAACACCCAGATGGTTCCTCTCATTTCCCCCTTGGCACACTCTACGGTATTGGTATGCATATTTCAATCAGAGGAAAAGACAGATGTTCAAATTGCTTTCTTGTTTGTGCATACTGAGCTTCCATCAGGAAAACGAATGATCGTTACGCATCAAAGGGTCTTTCTTGTTCTGATGATTCAATTATACTGAACAAAAATATAAACGCAACATGCACCAATTTCACCGATTTTACTGAGTTACAGTTCATATAAGGAAATCAGTCAATTTAAATAAATTCATCAGGCCCTAATGCCTGGTCAGGGGCACAGCCATGGGTGTAGGCCCACCCACTTGGAAGCCAGGCCCACCCACTGGGGAGCCAGATCCAGCCAATCAGACTGAGTTTTTCCCCACAAAAGGGCTTTATTACAGACAGAAATACTCCTCAGTTTCATCAGCTGTCCGGGTGGCTGGTCTCAGACGATCCTGCAGGTGAAGAAGCTGGATGTGGAGGTCCTGAGCTGGCGTGGTTACACGTGGTCTGCGGTTGTGAGCCCGGTTGGATGTACTGTCAAATTCTCTAAATTAGGCAGTACATTTGGAGGCGACTTATGGTAGAGAAATTAACATTACATTCTCTGGCAACAGCTCTGGTGGACATTCCTGCAGTCAGCATGCCAGTTGCACGTTCCTTCAAAAAACTTGAGACATCTGTGGAAAAACTGCACATTTTAGAGTGGCCTTTTATTGTCCCCAGCACAAGGTGCACCTGTGTAATGATCATGCTGTTTAATCAGCTTCTTGATATGCCACACCTGTCAGGTGGATGGATTATCTTGGGAAAGGAGAAATGTTCACTAAAAGGGATGTAAACAAATTTGTGCACAACATTTTAGATAAATAATATTTTGGTGCATATGAAACATTTCTGGGATCTTTTATTTTAGCTCACGAAACATGGGACCAACACTTTACATGTTGCGTTTATATTTTTGTACAGTATACATTTGGAACTTGTGTGGATATGATCCCCTAGTCAAAAATCCTATAGGTTTAGTGATTTTTCCAATAGTATCCTATAGGACTCTCACAATCCTATAGGATTTTGTGTCACCTTTATCAGAATCCTATTGGAATCCTATTGGACTACTTTTATCTTATTAGAAATAAAAGTAATCCTATTGGACCCTATATGATTCTCGCAATCCTATAGGATTTTGTATCACCTCTATCAGAATCCTATTGGAATCCTATTATTTGACTACTTTTTTTCCTATTGGAAATCAAAAGTGACCGATTGGATCCTATATTAATTTTTTTATGATGTTTTTTAACAATACAAAACATTAACATACAAACACACACAAACGTCCACAAAATCACCCCTGCCCAGACTCACCTGCTCACAACCCAATCTCCAGCGCTGCCTCAAAATGCACTATTGTGTTTCTTTCCATCACCCACACACTTCAACATTTATACAATAAAGCATTTCACCTTTCCATTGTGTTAACGATGGAGGATTGGTTTATTTATTTTTAAGTGTGTTTTTTCAAGATGATTGATGAGAAAAGTATGGTCCAACCCATCGGGTATCTCACTGCACCCTCACATGCCATGTCTTGAAATATTCAGACAGATGGATTAAAAGTGAATTTATCCTATAGGTTTTTGATAAGTCTTGTAAGATTTTGTCACCCCGATCAGAATCCTATTCTCTCCCTCTCTCCCTCCCCTCCCGGAGGACCTGAGCCCTAGGACCATGCCTCAGGACTACCTGACCTGATGACTCCTGGCTGTCCCCAGTCCACCTGGTCGTGCTGCTGCTCCAGTTTCAACTGTTCTGCCATCGGCTATAGAACACTGACCTGTTCACAGGACGTGCTACCTTGTCCTGGACCTGCTATTTTTGACTCTCTCTCACTCTACCGCAACCGCTGTCTCGACCTCTGAATGCTCGGGCTATGAATAGCCAACTGACATTTTCTCCTGAGGTACTGACCTGTTGCAACCTCTACAACCACTGTGATTATTATTTGACCCTGCTGGTCATCTATGAACGTTTGAACATCTTGAAGAACAATCTGGCCTTAATGTCCATGTACTCTTATAATCTCCACCCGGCAAAGCCAGAAGAGGACTGGCCACCCCTCAGAGCCTGGTTCCTCCCTAGGTTTCTTCCTGATGTAAAAAGGGCTTTAGGAATAAATGTGATTGATTGAACCCAACCAGCGCAGGCTGCGGACATAAGAGGGATACACGGTCGCTTAGGGCCCCAGGGCGCTTAGGGCCCCAGGGGCCCTGAACTCCTTGGGGCCTCCATTGATTTTGTTAGTCACTCTCATTCAGATATCATTAACATGGCATAAGTCATGGCAAAATGTGTAGAATTGCAGGAAATTTGCTTTAAAATTGAAAAAATATCTCTCCACCCCATGGCAAAATGGGTAGAACTGCAGGAAATTAGCAGTAAAACCTTTTCATTTCTGCCCAAGTGTCAAAATGAGTAGAATTGCATGAAGTTTGTTATAAAATTGCAAACATTTCTCTCCGCCCCATGGCAAAATGTGTAGAATTGCAGGTAATGTAAATTAAAACGTACACCAACCAAATCTCGCTTAGGGTCCCCAAAAGGATAGAGCCGGCCCTGAACCCAACAAACCCTTGGGCCTGGATGGTCTATTGTGTAAATAGAGAGATGTGCGCAAGTCAGTCAGTGCCAACCTGAATTGACTATGGCTTAAGGAGAGAACCTTCAATGCAAGTCAAGCAGCTGCACACAAGTGTTTGCAATGCGGGCCGGTGAGTAATGGCTGTATCAGTGTGTGCAGTGAGGGCCGGTGAGTAATGGCTGTATCAGTGTGTGCAGTGAGGGCCGGTGAGTAATGGCTGCATCAGTGTGTGCAGTGAGGTGTGGTCGGCTCTATTAACATTTAATAGGTTGTTTTGGCAAGGTACGCTATTGTGGGACAAAATGTTCACCTGTATTGTTGCATGTCCTTTATAGTGCTATAATGGCTAAACGACTGAAAGATAGGTTATATAGAGATAGAGTAGACAGACTGATGATGTGGGAGCTACAGGATACTTCAGGAGTTCAAGAGAAGCCATCTTTTGGTTTTGACTTTCACAGTATAGGCTACATAGAGATTGTTTTGGACATGCCACCCTCCGCAAATTGATAATGATGAATATGGAATGAATGTTCATTAGACTTTAAAAAACATAGAGTGTTTTGGACATGCTGCCCTACCTAAATTGATAATGATGAATATGGACTGAATGTTCAATTGACTTTAAAATCAACTGGACAAGGTTACAAAAAGGTAATATAACTCCCAACATAAGTGAGTAGTAGGGGTTCTGATTAGTTAGAGGACTGTTAGAGGACAACAGCAGTCTATAATGGTAATGTTCTGTTCCCATGTGTTCCAAATGCAAATAGTCCGGGTAGCCATGATTAGCTGTTCAGGAGTCTTATGGCTTGGGGGTATAAGCTGTTAAGAAGCCTTTTGGACCTAGACTTGGCGCTCCTGTACTGCTTGTTGTGCGGTAGCAGAGAGAACAGTCTATGACTAGGGTGGCTGGAATCTTTGATAATTTTTAGGGCCTTCCTCTGACACCGCCTGGTATAGAGGTCCTGGATGGCAGAAAGCTTGGCCCCAGTGATGTACTGGGCCGTACGCACTCCCTTCTAATCATGGCTACAACGTTAGACACGGACACATATGATCTGCTTGGCGTGTTGACACACTGGTGGTTTGTTGTGGCCGAGTATTGGTGCTAAACCGTGTTGTTGGAGGCTGGCATGCTAGTTGGCTGTGGCGTCATAGGACTAGGTGCCCTGGACGGTTTTCACGGAAGAATACTGTACCAAGTTAGCTAGCTGAATGAACTAAGTTAGTCTATTCCTAGAAAACATTGAACCGCTGTAGTTTACAACAATTATAGTTTCTGAGGTGAAAGTTGGGAGAGTTATATTTGGGTGTTTCAGTGAAACGTAAGTGAGGGAGGCCCCGCTCTCTCGCTTTCCCAGATGTTTAGTTCATTTCATTCCGATCTCCTTTGCATTATTGTAGCGATTTTCTGTAGCCTGTTAACTATGCCTCTGTCTATCCCTGTTCTCTCATCTCCGCACAGGCTATACAAACGCCTCACACCGTGTGGCTGCTGCCTCTCTAACCTGGTGGTCCCTGCACGCACGACCCACGTGGAGTTCCAGGTCTCCGGCAGCCTCTGGAACTGCCGTTCTGCAGCCAACAAGGCAGAGTTCATCCCAGCCTATGCTACCCTCCAGTCCCTCGACTTCTTGCCGCTGACGGAAACATGGATTACCACTGAAAACACTGCTACTCCTACTGCTCTCTCCTCGTCTGACCATGTGTTCTTGCATACCCCGAGAGCATCTGGTCAGCGGTGTGGTGGCACAGGAATCCACATCTCTCCCAAGTGGACATTCTCTCTTTTTCCCCTGACCCATCTGTCTATCTCCTCATTTGAATTCCATGCTGTCACAGTCACTAGCCCATTCAAGCTTAACATCCTTGTCATTTATCGCCCTCCAGGTTCCCTTGGAGAGTTCATCAATGAGCTTGACGCCTTGATAAGTTCCTTTCCTGAGGATGGCTCACCCCTCACAGTTCTGGGTGACTTTAACCTCCCTGTGTCTACCTTTGACTCATTTCTCTCTGCCTCCTTCTTTCCACTCCTCTCCTCTTTTGACCTCACCCTCTCACCGTCCCCCCCTACTCACAAGGCAGGCAATACGCTTGACCTCATCTTTACTAGATGCTGTTCTTCTACTAATCTCACTGCAACTCCCCTCCATGTCTCCGACCACTACTTTGTATCCTTTTCTCTCTCGCTCTCCTCCAACACTACTCACTCTGCCCCTACTCAGATGGTAATGCGTCGTCGCAACCTTTGCTCTCTCTCTCCCGCTACTCTCTCCTCTTCCATCCTATCATCTCTTCCCTCTGCTCAATCCTTCTCCCTCCAATCTCCTGATTCTGCCTCCTCAACCCTCCTCAACCCTCATCTCCTCCCTTTCTGCATCCTTTGACTCTCTATGTCCCCTATCCTCCCGGCCGGCTCGGTCCTCCCCTCCTGCTCCGTGGCTTGACGACTCATTGCGAGCTCACAGAACAGGGCTCCGGGCAGCCGAGCGGAAATTGAGGAAAACTAGACTCCCTGCGGACCTGGCATCTTTTCACTCCCTCCTCTCTACATTTTCTTCCTCTGTTTCCGCTGCTAAAGCCACTTTCTACCATTCTAAATTCCAAGCATCTGCCTCTAACCCTAGGAAGCTCTTTGCCACCTTCTCCTCCCTGCTGAATCCTCCTCCCCCTCTCCCCCCCCCTCCCTCTCTGTGGATGACTTCGTCAACCATTTTGAAAAGAAGGTTGACGACATCCGATCTTCGTTTGTTAAGTCAAATGACACTGCTGGTCCTGCTCACACTGCCCTACCCTATGCTTTGACTTCTTTCTCCCCTCTCTCGCCAGATGAAATCTTGCGACTTGTGATGGCCGGCCGCCCAACAACCTGCCCACTTGACCCTATCCCCTCCTCTCTTCTCCAGACCATCTCCGGTGACCTTCTCCCTTACCTCACCTCGCTCATTAACTCATCCTTGACCGCTGGCTATGTCCCTTCAAGAGAGCGAGAGTTGCACCCCTTCTCAAAAAACCTACACTCGATCCCTCCGATGTCAACAACTACAGACCAGTATCCCTTCTTTCTTTTCTCTCCAAAACTCTTGAGCGTGCCGTCTTTAGCCAACTCTCTTGCTATCTCTCTCAGAATGACCTTCTTGATCCAAACCAGTCAGGTTTCAAGACTGGTCATTCAACTGATACTGCTCTTCTCTGTGTCACGGAGGCTCTCCGCACTGCTAAAGCTAACTCTCTCTCCTCTGCTCTTGTCCTTCTAGACCTGTCTGCTGCCTTTGATACTGTGAACCATCAAAGCCTCCTCTCCACCCTTTCTGAGTTGGGCATCTCCGGCGCGGCTCACTCTTGGATTGCGTCCTACCTGACTGGTCGCTCCTACCAAGTGGTGTGGCGAGAATCTGTCTCCGCACCACGTGCTCTCACCACTGGTGTCCCCCAGGGCTCAGTTCTAGGCCCTCTCCTATTCTCGCTATACACTAAGTCACTTGGCTCTGTTATATCCTCACATGGCCTCTCCTATCATTGCTACGCAAACGACACACAACTAATCTTCTCCTTTCCCCCTTCTGATAACCAGGTGGCGAATCGCATCTCTACATGTCTGGCAGACATATCAGTGTGGATGACGGATCACCACCTCAAGCTGAACCTCGGCAAGATGGAGCTGCTCTTCCTCCCGGGGAAGGACTGCCCGTTCCATGATCTCGCCATCACGGTTGACAACACTGTTGTGTCCTCCTTCCAGAGTGCAAAGAGCCTTGGCGTGACCCTGGACAACACCCTGTCGTTCTCCGCTAACATCAAGGCGGTGACCCGATCCTGTAGGTTCATGCTCTACAACATTCAGAGAGTACGACCCTGCCTTACACAGGAAGCGGCACAGGTCCAAATCCAGGCACTTGTCATCTCCCGTCTGGATTACTGCAACTCGCTGTTGGCTGGGCTCCCTGCCTGTGCCATTAAGCCCCTACAACTCATCCAGAATGCCGCAGCCCGTCTGGTGTTCAACCTTCCCAAGTTCTCTCACGTCACCCCGCTCCTCCGCACACTCCACTGGCTTCCAGTTGAAGCTCACATCTGCTACAAGACCATGGTGCTTGCCTACGGAGCTGTGTGGGGAACGGCACCCCCGTACCTTCAGGCTCTGATCAGTTCCTACACCCAAACAAGGGCATTGCGTTCATCCACCTCTGGCCTGCTGGCTCCCCTACCTCTGCGGAAGAACAGTCCCCGCTCAGCCCAGTCAAAGCTGTTCGCTGCTCTGGCACCCCAATGGTGGAACAAGCTCCCTCACGACGCCAGGACAGCGGAGTCACTCACCACCTTCCGGAGACACTTGAAACCCCACCTCTTTAAGGAATACCTGGGATAGGATAAAGTAATCATTCTACCCCCCCTTACCCCACCCCAAAGAAAGAAAAAAAAACATATTGTAAAGTGGTTATCCCACTGGCTATAAGGTGAATGCACCAATTTGTAAGTCGCTCTGGATAAGAGCGTCTGCTAAATGACGTAAATGTAAATGTATGGAGTGCCTTGCGGTCGCAGGCCGAGCAGTTGCCATACCAGGCGGTGATGCAACCAGTCAGGATGCTCTCAATGGTGCAGCTGTATAACTTTTTGAGGATCTGAGGACCCATGCCAAATCTTTCCAGTCTCCTGAGGGGGAATAGGCTTTGTCGTGCCCTCTTCACGACTGTCTTGGTGTGTTTGGACCATGATAGTTTGTTGGTGTCATGGACACCAAGGAACTTGAAGCTCTCAACCTGTTCCACTACAGCCCCATCGATGAGAATGGCGGCGTGCTCAGTCCTCTTTTTTTACCTGTGGTCCACAATCATCTCCTTTGTCTTGGTCACGTTGAGGGATAGGTTGTTATCCTGGCACCACACGGCCAGGTCTCTGACCTCCTCCCTATAGGCTGTCTCATCGTTGTCTGTGATCAGGCCTACCACTGTTGTGTCGTCGGCAAACTTAATGATGGTGTTGGAGTCGTGCCTGGCCATGCAGTCATGGGTGAACAGGGAGTATAGGAGGGGACTGAGCACGCACCCCTGAGGGCCCCCCGTGTTGAGGATCAGCGTGGCAGATGTGTTGTTACCTACTCTTACTACCTGGGGGTGGCCCATCAGGAAGTCCAGGATCCAGTTGCAGAGGGAGGTGTTTAGTCCCAGGGTCCTTAGCTTAGTGATGAGCTTTGAGGGCACTATGGTGTTGAACGCTGAGCTGTAGTCAATGAATAGCATTCTGACGTAGGTGTTCCTCTTGTCCAGGTGTGAAAGGGCAGTGTGGATTGCAATAGAGATTGCATCATCTGTGGATCTGTTGGGGCGGTATGCAAATTGGAGTGGGGTCTAGGGTTTCTAGGATATTGGTGTTGATGTGAGCCATGACCAGCCTACCTCCAGGGAGGCAGGCAGATGGCTCTGTTGTTGGGTTTGTTGTTGTTGTTGTTGTTGTTGTTGTTGTTGTTGTTGTGTGTGTGTGTGTGTGTGTGTGTGTGTGTGTGTGTGTGTGTGTGTGTGTGTGTGTGTGTGTGTGTGTGTGTGTGTGTGTGTGTGTGTGTGTGTGTGGACCATCATGGTTATATGTTTACTTTGACATTGTAAGTGTTTTGCTTTCCATGTCAATAAAGTATATTGAATTGAGAGAGCGAGAGAAAGATGGAAAGAGAGAAGAGGTTTTAAAGAAAGAAAGAGAAAGAAATAGACAGACGGACGGACGGACGGTTGCACGGGAAGAGGATTTTTTTTAAATCTGAGAACAGTATGTTCAAAAAGCGTGTATGTGCTGCCTGTGACTGGGCCAAATGTCAGGGAGTAAGTCCCAAATAGCACCATATTCCTTATATAGGGCACTACTATGGGCCTTGGTCAAAAGTAGTGCATCATAAAGTGAAATCTTAATTTTTTATAATACATTTTTCAACCTTTATTTTGACAGGGAAGCCATATTGAGACCTAGGTCTCTTTTCCAAATGTGCCCTGTATAATACAATATAAAATAATTTGATCAACAGTATCAAAAGCCTTTGACAGGTCCACAAAAAAAAGCAGCATATTTCATTTTTAATGTCTAAAGCATTGACAAGATCATTGACGACTAAAGTGGTTGCAATGCCCAGGCCTAAACCCGTATTGGTTTACATTCAAAATATATTTCTCAGAGAAAAAAGAGCAAAGTTGTACATTTACCAAGGATTCGAGAATCTTAGCTAGACAAGGAAGCCTTGAAATGGGGCGATAATTATTAAAGATCACTACTCTCCCCGACCTTATGGAGTGGCAGCACAAGAGCTGATTTCCATACTTTTGGAATATTTCCTGAGAACATTGTTAAATAAAAAATGTAGGTTATTGTGCCAACAATGATGGGAGCTGCACAGTTAAGCAGACCAGGATCCAATTGGTTGGCCCTTGTGGATTTCCTGTTGTCTATTGCTAGCAAAGCATTCAGGACTTCTAAAAGAAAAGCTTTGACTATCATTTCTCTGAACATTCACCAAGTTTCCCCTATCAACATCCAGCCCAATATCATTGTGAATAGGCTTAGAAGTTATTTCAAAGAGATCGCCCACTGAAATAAAATGGTGATTAAATGCATCAATGATGGTATTTTTTTCAGTAATGAGGCCCATGTCTGAATTAATTTGCTGTGGCAGAGAGGAGGATGTAGAACCCTTCATGGATTTTACAGTTATCCAGAATTTAGCCGGGTTCCCATTACATTCTGAAAACGCGATTACATAATAATCAGAGTTAGCCTTTCTGATTTGTTTTACACAATGATTCCTCAGTTGCTTTAAAACTTGCCAGTCCGGGCCTAAACCTGTGTTCCTGGCCTTGACCCAAGCATAATCTCTTTTATGAATGACTTCTGATAATTCCGGAGTGTACCAGGCATTCGATCTACCTTTAACCCTTAATTATTTGAAGGGAGCATGATTTTCCACAATAGCATTGGAGACATCTGTAAAGAGGCTCAAAGCTAAATCAGGTTCAGGGATAGCTGAAATACAATCAAGATCACTTAAATCAAGATCATGTAAAAAAGCCTGTTCACTGAAGTTTTTAAAGTTCCTCTGTGATGACACGAGGCTTTGATTTTTGTATTTTCACATCTCTAACACAAACAACTGGGCAATGGTTACTAATGTCTTGGGCAAAGACACCAGTAGAAACATATTTCTCTGGTGTATTCGTTAAAATAAGATCAATCAGAGTTGACTTTGAAGGATTTCTAGGGTTGGGCCGTGTAGGCTTAGTCACCAGCTGGGTCAGGCTTAGATCATTACACATGTTTTTTTGATTGTCTGAAGCCTGCATTTCCCAATCATAATTTAGGTCACCCAGGATAATAACTTCTGATTTAGTAAAAGAAGACAACAAACTAGTTAACTCCTCGAGTGCATTAAGGTTAGCCGAGGGAGGATTATAGACCCCTATAACAGTTTTGGATAGACATTTTGGCAAGGGAAATGGATTTCAGTAAAAATGTGCCACTCCCCCACATATACATTTTAGTCATTTAGCAGACGCTCTTATCCAGAGCGACTTACAGGAGCAATTAGGGTTAAGTGCCTTGCTTAAGGGCACATCGACAGATTTTTCACCTAGTCGGCTCGGGGATTAAAACCAGCGACCTTTCGGTTACTGGCACAACGCTCTTACCCACTAAGCTACCTGCCGTCCTCTCATTCTCTGAACACATGATAACCCAAAATATTAATATCAGAGTCCAGAATGTCCCCAGAAATTCATGTTTCAGTCAATACCAGAATGTCTTGATGTAATCCAGTTTAGGAAGTAAGCTCCTAATGTTTAGATGCATCAACCCAAGTCCTTTACGATTTTTAAAGTCACATGAAAACTCCAACTCAAACAAGTTACGTTCAATGGCAGTTGCAGGCCCTGTTTGATGGTTGATATTGATATGGTTGATTTCACTATAAGATTGCACCATTTGGTCTATCCCTATTAGTAATAGAGGAAGGAGAAGAAATTGGAATTACTTTTCCAAGGTTAGCACCATGGGTCCTGAGGCCGCAGCCAATGTCAATATGAGGAACTCTCAGAGTAACCAATGATGGAATGCTATAAACTGACTTACATGTGCTTTGGTTGTTTTATAACAAGACAATGACATGACCTGTAAAAGCTATTTATATCTTCATGCCAAACCTACCAGGAAGATCACAATCAATGAAATAAAGTGTCTGGGCTGGCCTTAATGGGGCCTATTCTCTCTCTCTCTCTCTCGTGCTCTCTCTCTGCTCTCTCCTCCTATCGCTCTCTCTCGCGCGCGCGCGCGCTCTCTCTGATCTCTCTCTCTCTGCTCTCTCTCTCGCTCTCTCTCTCTCAGTTCAATTTCCAATTCAAATTTGTAAGGGCTTTATTGGCATGGGGGAAACGTATGTTAACATTGCCAACAGCAAGTGAAGTAGATAGTGAAACAAAAGGAAATAAACAATAAATATTAACAGTTAAACATTACACTCATAAGTTCCAAAGAATATAGTAAAGACATTTCAAATGTCCATATTATGTCCATATACAGTGTGTTTGTAACATGTGGCCAAACAGGTTAAAGTACAAATGCGGCCTTTCTCAATAGCAAGGCTATGCTCACTGAGTCTGTACATAGTCAAAGCTTTCCTTAAGTTTGGGTCAGTCACAGTGGTCAGGTATTCTGAAACTGTGTACTCTCTGTTTAGGGCGAAATAGCATTCTAGTTTGCTCTGTTTTTTTGTTAATTCTTTCCAATGTGTCAAGTAATTCTCTTTTTGTTTTCTCATGATTTGGTTGGGTTCTAATTGTGTTGTTGTCCTGGGGCTCTGTGGGGTCTGTTTGTGTTTGTGAACAGAGCCCCAGGACCAGCTTGCTTAGGGGACTTCTCCTAGTTCATCTCTCTGTAGGTGATGGCTTTGTTATGGAAGGTTTGGGAATCGCTTCCTTTTAAGTGGTTATAGATTTTAAAGGCTCTTTTCTGGATTTTGATCATTAGCGGGTATCCGTCTAATTCTGCTCTGCATGCATTATTTTGTGTTTTTCGTTGTACATTGAGGATCTTTTTGCAGAATTCTGCATGCAGAGTCTCAATTTGGGTGTTTGTCCCATTTTGTGAATTCTTGGTTGCCAATTTTAACCGCACGAGTTGTTGCTTGTGTACATGGATTTTATAAATGTGGAGTGTTTGACAAAAAAATGCCAGGAAGAGCGAGAGAGAGAGAGAGGAGAGAGAGAGAGAGAGAGAGAGGAGAGAGAGAGAGAGAGAGAGGAGAGAGAGAGAGAGAGAGAGAGAGAGAGAGAGAGAGGAGAGAGAGAGAGATGAGAGGAGAGAGAGAGAGAGAAGCAGAGAGAGAGAGAGAGCGAGAGAAAGAAAGAGAGAGGAGACGAGAGATAGAGAGAGAGAGCGAGAGCGCTAGAGAGAAGCGCGACGAGAGAGCGCGAGAAACGCGCGCTCGCGCGACTTACTCTATCTCTTCTGCTCTTCTCTCTCTCTCTCTCCCTCTCTCTCTCTCTCTCTCTCTCAAACACACACACTCTCTTTCTCTCTCTTTCTCAGTCTATCTGTCTATCTCTCTCTCTGTCTCTTCTATTTCCTTGCTAGAAGCATGCAGCTCTTTTCCCCAAATCACACAGTTTGTTGCTGTTATATTGACCCTGGAAGAGTCAAAGAAAGATGCCAGAAGTATTGACAAGATGTTTGGACAGAGAGAGTGCTAAGACATAGGAAGGGATGGGGATAGTAAGACAACTCGTCTGTCCAACAAATTGGGGGGCAATTGAAGATCATTTAATAAAAATGGGATTATCCCAAACTAACAAACCAATGGTTTATTATCAAATCTTAGCCGCAAAGTTGATTTAATCGCAAACAAACAGGGTAAGCTTGTGACTTGCATGCTCCGGTAGAGAAAAGGGCTGGGATACAGCACTAGGTTATTTCCGCAGGCCCTCTGTGCCTTCTCTCTCCCCCAAACAAACTCAGGAGGAGATTGTATCATTATTATTTTTCTAAGGTTTCTGTTGTTTTGTTTTTGTTATTATGCAGGCATGGAAAGTATCTCAGAGAAAACAGTTTGGGATGGATTAGGCCACTCCTCTCTGACGTCCGCGACGGCAGGAAGAAACAACCTCACTTCCTCCCTCTTCTTCGACTTCACGTCCCTCAACAGTTCTCATGGAGGGGTGGGGTCCTTCTACGGGATTATCCCAGAGAACACCTCAACCACCACGCCCCATGCCTTACCCCAGCCCAGGGTGAGGGATCTGGGCCTGGCCCGGGCCGAGATAGGGGTGCTGGGCCTGGTGCTGGCCCTGACTACCCTGGGAAACGGCTTTGTACTGTGGGTGCTGCTCCGCAGGAGGAAACAAAACGCTCCCATGCACCTGTTCATGGTCAACCTGTGTCTGGCTGACCTGGTGGTGGCACTGTTCCAGGTGAGACTGACACCTCAGAGTATGGAGTCGACTCCAGTTTTCTTGAGATTGATCCCAACCCTGTTCTGGTTGCTAGGCACCACATTGGTGTACTGTAATCAACATCAGTAGCCTATGAGTGATCTATGTAATGATGACATACTGTATGGTGCAGCAAGCTAGGGTGACCCCTCTAGCATGTTTACTAATGGCTTTGATTACAACAGTATGAATGAGTCAACTATTCCCAACCCCTCTAATGCGCTGACATACTGGCACCCTTATGTATTGAGTGTGGACCTGTCAAGTAAGCACACACTCGCCCACCATTGTGTGGTGGACTGGGCGCAGTTCTCAAAACACAATGGAAATGGCCTGAGCATTCAAATAAATATTATTTTTATTCCATTGCTTTAGGAGCTAGTCTACTCTGTTTCTATGTCCACACTAGCATCATGTATTGATTCATGGATTCTAAGTAGTATGCTAGTATCTAACATAGCCAAGTTTAATATCCTCCTGTTTCCTGTCCGTCCCTCAGGTGCTTCCCCAGCTGGTGTGGGACATCACAGAAAGGTTCCAGGGGCCAGATTTTCTGTGTCGCTCAGTAAAGTACCTGCAGATCGTAGGGATGTTTGCGTCCTCCTATATGATCGTTGCCATGACGGTAGATCGGCACTATGCCATCTGTTGCCCACTGCAGGCCTACCGTGGTGGGTCCGTGTCACGCTGGAACACCCCTATCATGACGGCCTGGGGCCTGGCCATACTGCTCTCCATACCACAGGTAGGAACACTATCACTGCCTTCTGACCCTAATCCTGACCCTAACCCCGACCCTTACCCTATCATGACGGCCTGGGGCCTGGCCCTACTGTTCTCCAAACCACAGGTAGGTACTGTATGGGACACTAAACCTAACCCTAGCTTCATGTCCACATCCCAGCTCAACCCTAACCCTAGCTTCATGTCCACATCCCAGCTCAACCCTAACCTTAGCCTCAACCCTAACCCTAGCTTCATGTCCACATCCCAGCTCAGCCCTAACCTTAGCCTCAACCCTAACCCTAGCTTCATGTCCACATCCCAGCTCAACCCTAACCTCAACCCTAACTATAGCTTCATGTCCACATCCCAGCTCAACCCTAACCCTCAACCCTAACCCTAGCTTCATGTCCACATCCCAGCTCAACCCTAACCTTAGCCTCAACCCTAATCCTAGCTTCATATCCACATCCCAGCTCAACCCTAACCCTAGCTTCAACCCTAACCCTAGCTTCATGTCCACATCCCAGCTCAACCCTAACCCTAGCCTCAACCACAACCCTAACCCTAACATGACAGCCTCTGCCCACTTACCGTTTACTTCACCCAACAAACCTCGAGGTAGAGCTGCCCTCAGAACAAGATGGAGGTAGAGCTGCCCTCAGAACAAGATGGAGGTAGAGCTGCCCTCGGAACAAGATGGAGGTAGAGCTGCCCTCGGAACAAGATGGAGGTAGAGCTGCCCTCGGAACAAGATGGAGGTAGAGCTGCCCTCAGAACAAGATGGAGGTAGAGCTGCCCTCAGAACAAGATGGAGGTAGAGCTGCCCTCAGAACAAGATGGAGATACAGCTGCCCTCAGACCAAGATAGAATACATAGAATAGAATACAACTTTATTGTCCATCCAGGATGTTTCTTTGACATCACCTTACATTAAAATAATCACATACACATACATTCTCACATCACACACATTTAAACTAGTCAGTCCATCATGTTGCATACACTAAAAATATAGAGGACATTGATACATTCACTCACAACTGACCACTGCTTCAACTGGACTGGATAGATAAGTACATATACCGATACAATTTACGTTGCATTTAGTAGTCCTACAGCACAAGCAACAGCACTTGGCCTGAAGTGCCGGCCAGAGGGAAGCCTTACGGATTGAGGGGGTAGAGGGTGGGAGGGGTCGCCAACGACAGCCAGTGCCTTGTTTTTGGTTGCCTTGTGGAACAGACTGCTCAACTGTGCCTGTGGTCGACCAATTACTTTGCTGGCTGTGTTTACTATTCTGGTAGGTTTGCTTTTGCTCCTCACGCTCAGATTACCATATCAGACTGTCATATTGAACATGAGGATGCTCTCCACCAAGCTGCTGTACACCCTCTCTAGAACATCCTGGTTGACCCCAAACCCCTTCAATTTCCTGATTAGAAACAGGTGCTGGCTTGCTTTAAAAAAAAAGGTCTGCATTCTCTGTGAAGCTCAGCTTGTCATCAATTTGTGTCCCTAGGTCTTTGAAACACTCAAACACCTCCACTGGTTGGTCGTTCAGAGAGAGTGGTTGGGACATTGGGAGGTTGTTGCCATTGATGATCAGCTCTGTTGTCTTGTCCACATTGATGTGGAGGGCACTTGACCGGCACCATTTTTGAAGGTTGTTGGCTTGTTTAAAATAGCTGTCCCCATCTGACGTAGCATCTTTAAAAAATAGTCCCACCAGAGCCATGTCATCCGCGTACTTGAAAAGGCTCACATTGTTTCCTTGGATCTTCATCTCATTAGTGTAGATAGAGAACAACAACGGTGAAAGGACACACCCCTGGGGCGCCCCTGTGTTCAGGGTCAGTTCATCAGAGAGGGCCCCATTCCTGAGGACCCTCTGTGGGCAGTCAGTTAAAAAGTCCTTAATCCAACATGCGAGGCCTCCGTTGACATTCTGGTCCAGTAATCATTTCAGCAGTGTGTGTATTTGCATTGTATTGAAAGCTGAACTAAAATCAATAATAAAATGTGTGCATATGATTTAGCATGTTGAATGTGACTAGTCACCATGTTCACCAAGGTCAGGGTAGCATCCTCAGTCCTCCTCTGTGCCTTACAGGCAAACTGTAACGGGTCCAGTTGATCTGCTATGGACAGGGTAAGGTGCTTACTGACAACCCTTCCCATGCATTTGGCCAAAAGGGGCATGAAGGCCACAGGTCAAAAGCCATTTGTTGATTTGGTCCTTGGCTTCTTAGGCACCGGTACAATGGTCGGCACCTTCCAGGAGTTTGGCACTGTGCAGGGTGCTCAGCAGGAGTTGAAACAGTCGTGTGAAGACTCCATTATAGGTTCTCGGCGCAGACCTTCAGTACTTTGCCCCGTAGTGTGCCTGGGCCCGGTGGTTTGTGTGGCTTGATATGTGACAGGCATGAGGCCACCTTGTTCTCTAGTATCTGGACAGGAGCGGAATTGGGGATGCTGTCACATATTTGTTGACATTCGTCTTTAAAATCAACGTCAAATCTACTTTAAGGTCATTTACAAAGGATGTACAGTCTGCAATGTGATTGTTCTCTCTTCCCATCATGCTTGTCTTGGATTGCCTGTACAGAACCTCTGCTCCACTTCATCCTTTTTTTAGCTTTCCACATTTTTGACCTGAATTCCTTTTCTTTCTTGTTTACAGCATCAGTATCTACTTTCAGGGAAGCAAACTTATTTTCATTTAGGCACATTTTCAATTCCTTAGACACCCAGGGCTTGTTTTGGGGAAATACTCTGACAGTTTTTGTGTTAATGACAGTATACTCCCAGAACTGGATGTATGATGTGATGCTGTCTGTCAACTCATGGGGATCCCTGCACCAGTCTGTGACGTCAAAGCAGTCCTTGAGCTCCTCCCTGCTCTCCTCTTTCCATACCTGAGTGGATTTCTCTACAGGTTTTTCACCTGCTGCCTGTATCTCGATAGGAGATGCATAACTTTATGGTCTGATTTCCCGATGGGTGCTCTCAAATGCACACTGCCTTGTATGTGTCCTCTACGTTGCCATAACACTGGTCCACAATGCGAGTTGAGCGAGTCGGACAGGTGACGTACTGTTGCAGAGTGGGGAGGTGAGAGCGTATTAAAATCCCCAAGCTCAAATACTGTCTGGTCAGCCGATCGTGAAAGCGCAGCATTGAAACGGTCTGTAATACTGGCAGCAGCTTCCTTATTGTTAGGTCCAAGCACATACACTATATACACAAAAGCATGTGGACACCCCTTCAAATTAGTCAGCTATTTCAGCCACACCTGTTGCTGACAGGTGTATAAAATCGAGCACACAGCCACGCAATCTCCATAAACAAACATTGGCAGTAGAATGGCCTTACTGAAGAGCTCAATGACTTTCAACGTGGTCAGTTCATCAAATTTCTGCCCTGGTAGTGCTGCCCCGATCAACTGTAAGTGCTGTTATTGTGAAGTGGAAACGTCTAGGAGCAACAACGGCTCAGCCGCGAAGTGATAGGCCACACAAGCTCACAGAACGGGACCGCCGAGTGCTGAAGCTCGTAGCCCGTAAAGAAAATTCTGGAAGCAACATCAACAAGAACTGCTGGCCGCCATTGGACTCTGAAGCAATGGAAACGCGTTCTCTGGAGTGATTATCATTTAGCAACCGCACATTTGACAGGGTGATCACCGGGAGTGGGTGATGGCTTCCCCGCCTACGTAGTCTGTCTGTTCCTGACAACACCTGTTGAGCCTCGCTTCTTCTTAGTTTCCCTTTTTGACTTTCTAGAACAACCATCAGGCAAAGCAATGCTGTTTTGGAGAGTGTGAGCTTTATCTCTGAAAGAGAGTAGAAACTCACGGGAGTAGGTGATGGTGGTTGATTTACTCACTGACTACATACAACCTCTGGTAGTGATTGTACATTTTGTAGCATATTACAGCAATCAGGATGAACAGGGTCACACATGCAATGTAAAATCCACTTTGAAACTTGCGACACACTTGGACTTAGACAAAATGAAACAAAATTGAGCGATATTGAGCGATATAACTATAAACAAACAAACAATTCACGCAGGTGAGCTCAGGGTCTGGCAGCAGCGCCGTGCCCTCAGAACAAGATGAAGGTAGAGCTGCCCTCAGAACAAGATGGAGGTAGAGCTGCCCTCAGAACAAGATGGCGGTAGAGCTGCCCTCAGAACAAGATGGAGGTAGAGCTGCCCTCAGAACAAGATGGAGGTAGAGCTGCCCTCAGAACAAGATGGAGGTAGAGCTGCCCTCAGAACAAGATGGAGGTAGAGCTGCCCTCAGAACAAGATGGAGGTAGAGCTGCCCTCAGAACAAGATGGAGGTAGAGCTGCCCTCAGAACAAGATGGAGGTAGAGCTGCCCTCAGAACAAGATGGCGGTAGAGCTGCCCTCAGAACAAGATGGCGGTAGAGCTGCCCTCAGAACAAGATGGAGGTAGAGCTGCCCTCAGAACAAGATGGAGGTAGAGCTGCCCTCAGAACAAGATGGAGGTAGAGCTGCCCTCAGAACAAGATGGCGGTAGAGCTGCCCTCAGAACAAGATGGAGGTAGAGCTGCCCTCAGAACAAGATGGAGGTAGAGCTGCCCTCAGAACAAGATGGAGGTAGAGCTGCCCTCAGAACAAGATGGAGGTAGAGCTGCCCTCAGAACAAGATGGAGGTAGAGCTGCCCTCAGAACAAGATGGAGGTAGAGCTGCCCTCAGAACAAGATGGCGGTAGAGCTGCCCTCAGAACAAGATGGAGGTAGAGCTGCCCTCAGAAACAAGATGGAGGTAGAGCTGCCCTCAGAACAAGATGGAGGTAGAGCTGCCCTCAGAACAAGATGGAGGTAGAGCTGCCCTCAGAACAAGATGGAGGTTAGAGCTGCCCTCAGAACAAGGATGGCGGTAGAGCTGCCTCAGAACAAGATGGAGGTAGAGCTGCCCCTCAGAACAAGATGGAGGTAGAGCTGCCCTCAGAACAAGATGGAGGTTAGAGCTGCCCTCAGAACAAGATGGAGGTAGAGCTGCCCTCAGAACAAGATGGAGGTAGAGCTGCCCTCAGAACAAGTAGTGGAGGTAGAGCTGCCCTCAGAACAAGATGGCGGTAGAGCTGCCCTCAGAACAAGATGGCGGTAGAGCTGCCCTCAGAACAAGATGGAGGTAGAGCTGCCCTCAGAACAAGATGGAGGTAGAAGCTGCCCTCAGAACAAGATGGAGGTAGAGCTGCCCTCAGAACAAGATGGAGGTAGAGCTGCCCTCAGAACAAGATGGAGGTAGAGCTGCCCTCAGAACAAGATGGAGGTAGAGCAGCCAACAGAACAAGATGGAGGTAGAGCTGCCCTCAGAACAAGATGGAGTAGAGCTGCCTCAGAACAAGATGGAGGTAGAGCTGCCCTCAGAACAAACAAGATGGAGGTAGAGCTGCCCTCAGAACAAGATGGAGGTAGAGCTGCCCTCAGAACAAGATGGAGGTAGAGCTGCCCTCAGAACAAGATGGAGGTAGAGCTGCCCTCAGAACAAGATGGAGGTAGAGCTGCCCTCAGAACAAGATGGAGGTAGAGCTGCCCTCAGAACAAGATGGAGGTAGAGCTGCCCTCAGAACAAGATGGAGGTAGAGCTGCCCTCAGAACAAGATGGAGGTAGAGCTGCCCTCAGAACAAGATGGAGGTAGAGCTGCCCTCAGAACAAGATGGCGGTAGAGCTGCCCTCAGAACAAGATGGAGGTAGAGCTGCCCTCAGAACAAGATGGAGGTAGAGCTGCCCTCAGAACAAGATGGAGGTAGAGCTGCCCTCAGAACAAGATGGAGGTAGAGCTGCCCTCAGAACAAGATGGAGGTAGAGCTGCCCTCAGAACAAGATGGCGGTAGAGCTGCCCTCAGAACAAGATGGAGGTAGAGCTGCCCTCAGAACAAGATGGAGGTAGAGCTGCCCTCAGAACAAGATGGAGGTATAGCTGCCCTCAGAACAAGATGGAGGTAGAGCTGCCCTCAGAACAAGATGGAGGTAGAGCTGCCCTCAGAACAAGATGGAGGTAGAGCTGCCCTCAGAACAAGATGGAGGTAGAGCTGCCATCAGAACAAGATGGCGGTAGAGCTGCCCTCAGAACAAGATGGAGGTAGAGCTGCCCTCAGAACAAGATGGAGGTAGAGCTGCCCTCAGAACAAGATGGAGGTAGAGCTGCCCTCAGAACAAGATGGAGGTAGAGCTGCCCTCAGAACAAGATGGAGGTAGAGCTGCCCTCAGAACAAGATGGCGGTAGAGCTGCCCTCAGAACAAGATGGAGGTAGAGCTGCCCTCAGAACAAGATGGAGGTAGAGCTGCCCTCAGAACAAGATGGGGGTAGAGCTGCCCTCAGAACAAGATGGAGGTAGAGCTGCCAACAGAACAAGATGGAGGTAGAGCTGCCCTCAGAACAAGATGGAGGTAGAGCTGCCCTCAGAACAAGATGGAGGTAGAGCTGCCTTCAGAACAAGATGGAGGTAGAGCTGCCTTCAGAACAAGATGGAGGTAGAGCTGCCCTCAGAACAAGATGGAGGTAGAGCTGCCTTCAGAACAAGATGGAGGTAGAGCTGCCCTCAGAACAAGATGGAGGTAGAGCTGCCCTCAGAACAAGATGGAGGTAGGGACACTGGCCCTGCTGTTCAGTATACTGTAGG